CCAAAATATAACTAAATAGCAAAATGAAAAAACAACTATTAGGGAATAAGGAGAGAGCTTTCTCCAATGGGAAGGGGACAAAGAGGTGGAGGTGCGGGAGAGAGAGGAGGGGAAGAACATAAGGAGGAAATCAGATGTGCTGTGAGATGGACTGGCTCCCAATGAAGAACAGAATGTCTGTGTACTGCCAATAGGTACCAGTAAAAACGTCTAGAAATCCTACAAAGCCCAAGTCCAATCCCTGTTACTGCACTCAGAATCAACACATGTATTATTTTCCTATTTCCACTTAGGTCTTCTCTTGCAGTCAAAGCATTATTTTTTCTCTGAAGTACTGGGTGTATCCCATATCTCCAAAAAATCAAGCAGACTTTTATTATATTTGTTCTCAAAATGCGATAATCCATATGGGATTATACGATGCACACCCACTTGTTAAACATATAACTACATTATTTGAACTCTATTAATACACTGATTAAGTGATTCAAAAAGTGAAACTTTTACCCAGTGAAGCTCTAATTAGAAGTTAGACCTCTTTCTTCTTGTTTTCGGAGTCTTCCATGTTATATCTTGCAGGATATCTTTTTTTTCCCTTACAAAAGCTCTATACTTGTAAAATCCAAGTACAGTAAAACAAATAGTACATAGTTTGCAAAAAGAACCTGAATTAAAAAATAATTGCACTTATAAATTTATTTTTTACAGAAACATTTGTGTGAAAAATGCTATTTATCAAAATAAAGCATAATACATATCTAAGCATAAATTCCCTAAGTATAAAATATAACAATATTGCAAATGTATATCAAGTTACTCAAGAGATTTAAAAATTCTTAGAAAACTTTTTAGATTTCTCAGGCTGACAGCCCCCACAAACAAAATGTGTTATTAAATTACAGAATATTTTAATTGTGAAACGTAAAAATAAATCGTACTTTGAAATCATAATTATCAATGGGAAGTGAAACTTGTTTAAGTCATTGCTCCAGCATTAATCTTTAAAACATACATCATTTGTTAAATGCTAATACAAATATTATAAAAAATTAGTTGATTTTTTTAGGTTTGCTCTTTCCTTTTTATGTTTCAAGACGTGTATATCTGTTACTCGCATTATGTAAAAGTATTTAGTTTTTGTGTTATAGACAGCTGAGTTATTTAGAAATATTTTAGGCAATCAAACAGAGCCTGAGAGGACAGTGCTGCAGACAGCTGCGGCTGGAGGCGTGTCAGCTGGAGGTGGCGCCTCAGGGTGGAGGAATGCTGACACCCACACAGTCCCCCTGGAGCTGTTCGTGATGACATTCTGAACAGGCATCAAGCACCTTGGGTGGAGGATCAAAACCGCCTTAACCCACCCTTCCCAGAAGGGCCCCTGTTGGGCCCATGTGTGCTTGCTACCCTATCTGATCCCCACTTAATCAATATTACCTAAGCAACTATACTTGTACGCTGTTTTTTTTTTTTGTGGTTGTTGTTTTGTTTTGTTTTTGTTTTTATATTTGGCACAGGATCTACAGGGTGTTCAGGGTCTCACTACATAGACCAGACTCGTAGTGATCCTCCTGTATTCAACCTCCTAAGAGCTGGGATTATAGACATGTGCCACCATGCCCAGTCTCAATCACCATCTCAGTGTACCCCGGAGCCGGGGCTCTCACGGCACGCCAGGGATTGAACCTCAGCCTCTGCGTTTTGCCTAAGCAGGCACTTTAGTATGCTGAGCTATCTGCCCGGCCCTTGTATTCTTACTGGTTGGCCGTAGTTTGATCCCGCCTTACAGCCAATTTGTGACTTTCCATTGGATCAGGATTTCCTAAACCACTGTACTTGTAATCTAATGATAGCATATGATATAGTTAACTATATCATATGCTATCATTACACCTACTTCACCTTTTTTTCTTAAACAACTTTTCAATTTACTAAAATGGTTGCCCTAGACATCTGCCTTGGTGACTCAACTTCTACTCCTGGCTGGATACTGATGGATGTAATCTGCTTAACATCTCAGAAGGACTGTGCAAATCAATGAGCGGTTTGTGCATCCTGATGTAGAAACCATCCGTGTCTTAGACCCGTCGCCACTCGGTGTTTTTCTCGTAGTGACTCTCAAGGTCTCAGTGGGCCTGGGCACGGTCCTTTCACTTGGGGATTCTTTTCCTTCGCACCTCTGGTCAAGTCATCACACACCTTTTCCTGCAACTTCCTGTTGTGGCTGGTGAGGGTAATCCTAATCTGGTGAATGGCCACCTCGGGCTCCATGGGGGCCTTTCAGTTTTTTGTTTTTTTTTTTTGGGGGGGGAAGGGTCTACAAGGTGTTCAGGGTCTCATTACTAGATTAGACTCTAGTGATCCGCCTGTTTACAACTCCCAAGATCTGGGATTACAGGTGTGTGCCACCACATCCAATCTTAATTACTGTCTCAGCGTGTCCCGGGGGCGGGCCTGGCACGGCAGACCTGGGGACCAGGGGATTGAACCCCCAGCCCCTACGCCTGCTTGCAGGCGCTTTAATCCACTGAGCAGTTTGGCCGGCCCTCAGGTGTCTAAATACAATGGTTGCAGCCCGACTTCCTGACTGACTTGTTCCTCGACGGTCGGCAGTTAGAGACGAGCAAGAGCCAAAGCCAAGGAGCAGGAGGATCTACAACCACCTCTTCCTCACAAAAGAATAAAGCCCGCTTCAACCTGAGAAGCAGGTTCCCCACACCCACCACTTGGGTTCCTACCCCCATCCCCCAACCCATCCCATCCCCTTAACCCCCCCCACTGCGCACGCGCCTTTCTTCTGTCTCTCTCAAACAGAAGCTTTCTTTGTCTCAATAAATACTTCCTACTCTAAACCTCTGTGTTCCTAGAATTCATTCTTCGATTTTTAAAGAATACGCCCTTGGCACATTGGACATCTAGCAGGCTGGGATTTTACTTGGATCACTTGGCGTTCTTGCATCATCTCTGCGTCTCAGGCCCTATATCATGTTGAACATGGTACTAGCTTTCCAGATGCACAAAAATGTAAGAATAACGGGGTCCTGACAACTTCCACCAATAATTTAAAGGGGAATCTGAAAGACCAGCCAGAGTGAGAGCCCATGCAGAAGAGCAGGGGACTGTAACGAGGACACCAGAAAGGCTCAGAGAACAGCATCGTGTAGTCCCTCCAGAGAAAGCTGCAGGCAGAGTGCAGGAGCACAGCCGTGGGTCCAAGACCAGCAGCGGCAGGAGGGCAGGCCCGCCTGAGGCTTTGTGGGTCCACCCGCACCACAGTGTTCACGGGGAGCCAGAATTAGGTCTCCAAGATTTACTATCTGCCCTGCTGTTTGTCTTCCATAGCTCCTATTTCTAAGGTTCCGACCGGACCTGGCAGCCCCAGCCCCCAGCCTGTTGCTACGAGAGACCCTACTCAGGGAATTCAGCTCAGCATCCAAGGCTGTCCTCCACCAGCACGGGATGCTGCGGAGGACACAAGACAGGACAGAGAACTTTTCAGGCTCCAGGAGATCTGGGACCATCTGACAATTCACACTGGACAGAAGGACTTTCTGCCCACTGAGTTGCAAGCTAGCCAGAGGACATTGACCACAGGATTTACTGGGATCTTCCCATCTAATGTCCCTGCCTTCTTCACTCTGTCCCTATAAAAGGGCCATTTCTCCATTCACTGCAGTCACTCCTATCATGCAGCTTAGACTCATAGTGATCCTCCTGTCTCAGTCTCCCCGACACTGAGATTACAGGTGCGTACCACCGCACCTGGTTTTTCTGGCCAGCACAGAGTGCCCAGGATCCTGGGGCCAGCATGGCATGCTGTACTGGGGATCAAACCCGGGTCCTTGTGCTTGCATGGCAGGTGCTTAGACAGCCAAGCTATCTCCCCAGCCCCTGCCTGAACCATATAGGTGCTTCATTTGTGGCCATGTTTCATATTCACAACCTTTGAGTATGATTTTTGCTCATGATTCTCACTGTAGATCTGGATAAAGGCAGCAAGCAGGACCCACACCACAGCTTGAACCCTGGGATGCCTTGAAATTTTCCCCACTATATTAATTAGTACACCACCCTTAATTACAAACTCTTGTAAAACCTCAGGACATTGGCAGAATGTAGAGAAATTCTCAGCCAAGATAAAGCATGCGGGGCCAGGGAGATGGCTCAGTAGAATAAGCACTTGCCTGACAAGCACAAGGGCCTGAGTTCAATCCCTGGTTCCACAAAAAAAAAAAAAAAAAAAAAAAAAAGATAAAGCATGCTTTGCTCTTTGTCCAATTTCCACTAGTTTCCTTATTCCCACCTGAAACTATTTGAGCTTGGCTTTTATTTATGGCATTCCTAATTTGGGAGGAGGGAGGGCCTAGAGGTTTCACTATGTAGTCCAGGATGCTCTGAGCTCACTTTGTAGTCCAGGCTGGCCTCAAACTCACAGAAAACCTCCTGCCTGAGCTTTCAAGTACTGAGATTATAGGTGGGCACCACCATGACCAGCCCAGCATTCCTAAAATTAAAAATCATTTTTCACAGATGAAAATAAACCAATACTGAAGTATGTATAGCATCAAAAATGGTCCCAAATAACCAAAACCATTTAGCAAAATGAAGGTACATGGGGCACCGCACTACTTGATTTTGAAATATACTACGAAGTTATAGAAATCAAAACAGCATTGTATTTGCATAAAAATGGACACATTCACTTAAAAGGAATATAACAGAGAGCCTAGAAGGAAATCCCTAAATTTACAATCCATTGCTTTTAGATCATGGGTAATCTGGACATTTTAGTAATCTAAATTCTTACAGTCCATGAATAAGCAATAGAACTTCATTTTTCATCTCTTTCATTTTCTTGTATCAATATTTAATGTTTAAGTGCCCAGATGATTTTGCCCCCTAAAATAAATTTATTTCTGGGTGAATTAGTCAATTTTTCAATACTATAAGGAAATATTTGATGCAAGCTTCAGTACTTGTAAAAATTTACTTAGCTATTAGTTTTAGAGGCACAAAGTCCACATGGCAAGAGGAGGCAGGGAGCACAGTGAGGTAAAAACCTCTTTATGAGGAGGACCTTGGGGTCACCTGAGAGCGGCCGCATGGCCACCTGAGAACCCTCTCCTGCTGCAGCCATCCAGGGACCGGCTGCCTGTTCTTACCTCCTAATGGTTCCACAGCACCTTTCAAAGTTGCCATCATGGGAACCAAGCCTCTAATCTCCCAAGCATGTTGGGGGCCAAAAATCCATACTTAAACTCTCAGAGAGGGGGCAGGAGGAGAGAGAGAGAGAGAGAGAGAGAGAGAGAGAGAGAGAGAGAGAGAGACACTATTGTAAATGAGATTTTAAAAGGATTTCTTCTGACCAGCATGCTATGCTGGCCCTGCCCCCCAGGGTGCGCTGAGACTGAGATTGAGACTGGAGGTGGTGGCATGTGCCTGTAATCCCAGCTCTTCGGAGGCTGAACACAGGTGAATGTTTACAAGTCCCGTCTATGTAGTGAGACCCTGTAGACCCTGTACTAAAAACAATACAAATTTTTTTTTCTTTTGAAATGCTTCTTTATGGTCTATAAACATGGCTGATTTTTGTATGTTGGTTTGTCTCTTACCGAATATATTTATTAATTCTACCAGTCCTTACTGAAGTCAGGATTTTCTTCATATAAGACTTTGTAATCTAAAACCAGAAAATTTTATTTTTCTTTACTAATGTGGCTTTTATTGTTTTCCTCACAATTGTTCTTGCTTGGTGAAAAGTGACAGTTCATCTTTTTCTGATTTTGTAGAAAAAGTTTCAGCTTTTCATAGGTGTGATGGGAGCCATGGACTGGTTCTAAAGTAACTTTCCACTTTGACTACACCTCACTTCTGGAGAGTTGTAGATCATGAAATGGTGCAGAATTTTTCCAAATAATCTTTTATACATCTATTGAGGCTGTCACGTAATTTTTTTTAACCTTCAATCTCTGAATATAGTACAATACATTCATTGATTGTGTATATTGAACCACCCTTGTATTTCAGAAATAAATGCAGACTGATAATGGTTTATGACTTTTTTTTTCAGAACCGGGGATTGAACTCAGACCCTTGCACTTGCCAGGGAAGCGCTTATTCCACTGAGCCATCTCCCCGGGCCCTTACGATGTTTTTAATAAGTTCTTCATGTCACTTTCTTGGGGATTTTTTTGTGTGTGTGCATCAGTTGTACTAACCTGTAATTTTCTTTCCTTGGAGTGTCCTTGTATTACTTTGATTATCATGATTATAATAACTGATTTAGCATCTTCTTTTATCATAAATATGGTTTTTGTTACTCCCTGAAGCTATCTTATTAGGTTGTCTTTTGGAGGAATTTGTGTATACTATCTACATTGGCCAATTTATTGTATTATAATTATTCACAATAGTCATCTAGTCCTCTTTATATCCAGGGTGCCAGTTGCAAACTCTCCAATCGTCTTTTATAACTTTATCTATTTGAGCCTTAATCTAGCTGAACGTCTCCTTCTGTGCATCGTTGTGTAAAAAAGTCATAACTTAATTGATCTTTTGTTTTTCTATCCTCTATTACACGTATGCCTTCTGGATTTTTTTTTTATTTTTGCTGATTTAGGGTTTAGTTGGCTTTTTTCTACTTCTAGGAGCTGTCACTTACTTTTTTTTTACTTTTTCTGATTTTTGTTAGAGAATTTTGTGCATTTACTTTTAAAAAATTTTTGAATATATAGCAATCTACTTCTGCCAATTTATTGTTTCTGATTTGTAGTTCATTTGCTCCATTCTTCTTTTTTGCTAGCTTTGTTTGTGATTTGGTGGGTTTTTGCATTCACATGCTTTGAGTTCTTTCCTTTTTAAATTATATTGCATGTTTTCTTCTTTATGATTATCATAAAGTTACATGAAATATAGCAATTCTTTAAGTGGATAACAAGTTAACTGCTTGTTATACAAAAACTTTTTCCTTAATTTTCCTCATATTTTGTATTATAATTTTTACCTTTTATGTACTTTGCATTACTTTAAAATTTACTGTGACTACTTTTGTAATTTTATGCATCAATTGCTATACTAGAGTGCAATTATTAAGTCTAGATTTGAGTAGGATAACATCTTGATGTTCTTTCATAATGTACAATGTTTTGCACAAACATTTTAACATTTCACAATAAAGATAGAAAAGGTCAAGCCATTTGAAGATATGTAAATTATTTCATAAGTTACTTGAAACCTTGCCAAGTGCCCTCACTTTTTTCAGGACTAATGCAAAACTATAAAGTATTTAATTCAGTGACTCAAGTATTTGCATATATTGTACTCTATGTGAACCATTTTTTAAAGTATTTTTTATACAACCATATATTTTCTTTAATAAGCAAAGTATTTGTGCATGATTTATTACTACTCTACTTTACTATAAATAGCCATAAGTTTTAAAAACAATTTGTGCCTCTTTAAGTGAGTACAGTGTATATCACTTACATATTCCAATCAAAATAAATGCCATTTTTGTCTTGTTATAGACCCAGCAACGTCCCTTGTGTCCACATTTACTGATATCCCGAAAGGTGCACGAAGTTTCTCCTGTTTGTTTAAAAAGTAATGGCCCAGGAATTGTCCCTAAAACAATATTTAAAGATTTAAATTATTCATCACACATCATTCAGCAGGACCATAATAATTTCAGGCTAAACCATATACAGTGAATCTTAACTTTAAATATATCACTTAAAATTATTAATTATCTATATATGTATAGTTTTCTTAGTCACTGGAAAGTGATGTATGTTTCCAAAATTCCTTATTCCTAAATATATAAACATACTGGAACCTTTTTAAAATTGTTACATGCTATTATTTAGAAAAAAGACATCTATAGATATTTGATTTTTACATGAAAAATACAGGCATACTGGCATATATTGAGAAATACTGATTTTGTGAACTCAGGGCATCTTCAAAAATAAATTACTGTGAAATTTTAAATGACTGACAAGTGAGTGGGTAATGATATTTTTCATTAAGATGTTGAGAGAAAAATACCTGAAAATAAATGTGCTTTGCTGTGTTAACGTAACCCTGACTCAGATGGCCTCGGACCCCAAGGAATAGCTGTGACTCATGAAAGGGGCCTTCATTGCTGTCAAAGAAAACATCTACTCACATTTTCTGCCAAAAGTGTATCAGCAGTGGCACATGAGGCCATAGGAAAGGTACAAGAATTGGTTTCTGTCTACTGATTGACCATCTTCCTTAAAAATCATCAAGGTCCTCTTTCCCCTAATAATGTCTACTAACAATCATTACCTAGCCTTCCCTATAGCACCTTTTTATAGTTGCTAAATGGGAAAAAATCCAAGCTCACTGTCATGGCTTGAGGTTCTTGCAAGGGGAACAATATAGTGCAGGACACATTTCATATCATTTTATAATGAATCACCCAAAAAATCATACACAAAGAGTGCAGGAAATCTGCCCACATACTAAACACCAAAGTGTCCAGCTGAGGGCCTGGATTGGAATACCCTGCATGAGTCCAACTGAAATCCTACAGCTCGTAATTTTGCCTCCCAAAAGTCCAACTGGAGGCCTAGAGCCCACAACAAAGTCTCATGCAGGCCCTTTCATGTGCTGGACAGGCCTAAAGATCAGTGGTGAAGCTAGAAAGTCTATGCCAGTGGGATGAAAGATCTGTGCTAGCCAGCTAAGGGATCCGAACTTGAGCAGGAAGCAAAGCTCAAGGTAAGCATCAGAGCTCCCCAAATGTGCCGCAGCCATCCTCAGCCACAGTGAGGTCCTGAGTTCCTCCAGCGATGAGGAAAGCCGAATTCCCATCAAGAAAGCCAATGGGACAAACTCCTCCTTGAGGCTGAGCAGTGCACCATTTTCCCTTCGGAGCCAGGAAGTGATGCTCAGGATGAGGACCTAATCTGCTCCAAAGTTCATCAGGAAAGCCGGCATGCCAAGGTTCTCCAACAGAACAGCCCAAGAGAACTAGCAGCTTCCAACAGCTCCACCAGCTTCTCCGAACAGCATCCCTAACAGTGTTCCAACAGCTTCTTGGTTGTACCTCTTATGCTGCTAGCAACAGTCCTCATGTGGGCCTCCCACGCCCAGCAACATGCTAGTTCAGTACAACTGAGTATATAGCAAGTTCACCACCAGGTAGAAATGCACTACACCCACTACTTAGTATTTTTTATTTCTCATCATCTGATTACAATCCATCATAAATCTTTATAACATAATTTGCAAACATATCTTGGGTATGTTTATTTCTACCTCTACTCAAACCCCAGATTCTAAATTAATACAACTCTTTTTTTTTTAATATGTGTGTGTGTGTGTGTGTGTGTGTGTGTGTGTGTGTTTTAGGGCAGGATCTACAATGTGTTCAGGGTCTCACTACTAGATCGGACTCATAGTGATCTGCCTGTTTACAGCCTCCCAAGTGCTGGGATTACAGGCGCACGCCTCCACACCCAGTCTCAATTTCCTTCTCAGCACACTCCAGGGGCGGGCCAGCACAGCAGGCCTAGGGATCAAACCCCTCTTGCAGGCACTTTAATCTGCTGAGCTATTTGGTTGGCCCTTAATTCAACTCTTAAACTTCAGCATAAGCATCCCTTTACTTGTCTTCCACATTTATCTCCTCTACTTATTTGTTCCTTTGAAAACAGGGTTATCCTTAAATATACATCATGTAATATCTATGCTCCACTTACAATTCTATGGTGTCAAAATTCTGCATTATCTAGAGAGAGCTTATATCCATATAATCATCTTTATCCTTTTCCAGCACTGACAAAAACATTTCTAATTTTTCTTAGTTAAAAAGCAAATTTTTCTAGGTGTAGTGGTATAACTTGTAATCTCGACACTCAGGAGGCTGAGGCATGAAGATCACTTCAAGTTCACTGCCAATATGGGCCACAAAATGAGTTCAAGGCCAGCCTGAGCAAGACCTTATCTCAAAAAAAAGAAAACAAAGCAAAACAAAACCAACAACAAAAACCCAAAAGCAAAATCTAATTTTCATTTCACACACACACACACACACACACACACACACACACGTATATATATGTATTATATGATTTCTCCAGTTCCTGTCAGAGCCACACATATTTGTTCATGTTTTTATTCTGTATGTCTTTCAATCCTCATTTCAACCTTATTTATTTATCTCACTATATTTTTAATCAACTTGTTGAATCAGGGGATTCTAATACAGCCATAACATGGATTTCAAATGTAGATTTTTTTTATTTAAGAAAACCTGAAAAAAAAAAAAACATATACAATTCCCAGAATTCCCAAGTTGTTTTTATTAAGAAACACATCTGTAAAGCCCGCAGATTTGGTGGTTTTGGTGACAAACACTTAAAAGCACCAACCTAGTTTAACACTCCAAAGCACTTGTATCGGATGATGGTCAGGTCCAACATAATTGATACATAGTCTGTATAACCTGTTGATTGAGGTTTTTTTTTTTTTAACCCAGGACTTTGCCCTGCCAGGCATGTGCTTGTGCCAGTGAGCTACCTCCCTGGCTCTGGGCATTCATTACCTTAAGTATCTTGTCTTTATATTAACTGCCTCTTAAGTTGTTCAAAGCTATTCTTGTATTCATTTGTTCTGTGACATTTTAAATTAAATTAACTTATGGTTTGAAACATGCTTATAAACACATATTTGTCAAAATGAATATCTTTATATAGCAAAAACGCTAGAACTCCTTACCAAATATTCTCATAATCACATAGGTTATACCGATGGCGAGAGAATGGAGATGCTCGGGGATAATCCTGGAAGCAAAGAGCAACAGTATGGTTAGCTGCAGATAACTTATTCTTGGTTCAAGACTTTTTCTTGTACCTGAGCTACATAAAGGACCTCTTACCAGCTGATCTGTGAAAGGGCTGCAACTTATTGCCCTATAACTTGTCTGTTCTTAATTCCGAAGCTCTCTACGCTTCAGGAGAGGTTCGTGGCTTAAATTTTCTGCCCTAGCCTCTCTTTCCATGTCTGAAATAACCAAGCCCCAATTTTCATACCTATCTTTCTCTACTCAGTCATGCACGCCGCTGTTTCATGCCCCTTTCTGTCCTTCTGCGCCCCCTTTCCACCTCCTCCTGCTTGCTCTCTGCCCCGAAGGCTGAGAGACGCGGAGCACACCAGCAGGCTGCCCACTTGCTCCTTGCCCTGAGTTCTGACGGTGGGCAGCTGCGAGCAGGATACAGGTCTCTGTTCTCACACGCGAAGCTGTGCACACCCCACCACGCGTCGCTTTGCCATCCCTTGCTCCCTCTGGGCCTGACATGCTAACGTACTTTGACACTTATTACACCACACCCATGATTCAGATAACCTCTTCATGCTCCTTTCCTGGGACTGCCCTAATTTGAATCCGGTCCCACTTCCCTGTTGGACCTTGGATGATTATATTCACTATTTAAAAGCTTAGAATAAATGCAAAATAGCTCACAGAATATAAAGAATGAAGGTCTATTTCTAGACTGTAAATATGTTCAAATATTAATACTATTCTTAATTATTAAGATTTTATGGTATAGTTTAGCTTTTAAGTCTAAACCTCTACTTGTTTTGCTTCACTGTTTCAGATGTCATGACTACTGATTTGTTTTCCCATAAGAAGTTGGTTCAGATTGTTTTCTCTAATAAATTTTTTGCTATTTTCGTTACAGCATTAAAATTAACAAATGAAGCTAAGGAGACTGTATATCTTCTTATCTAGTAATACATTTGTGTGTGTGTGTGTGTGTGTGTGTGTGTGTTTTATTTTTTATTTAGAAAGCATTACAGTCTCACAAGAAGTTTAAAATTACTACAAAATTGGTACTTCCCTTAATGGTGAAATCTTGTAAAACCAAAATATAATATCAAAACCAGAAAGATGACATCAGAAAATCATTGTTAACAAAGCTATAGGTCTTACTCAGTTAACATAAGCTTTTGCATTTAAGTTGAAATGATTTGTGTATTCATGCAGTTCTGTACAACTATTCTCTCTGCATTTGCCATCCTGAAGCACACAGAAAATCATTTACTGCAGTAATCCAAAATATGTTTAACTTTTCATGTGTTAAATGAATAATAATGATGGATATCATATACATACCGAAAGATAATCAGATTGATTGGTACACCACAAAAGCTTGTAAAAACAATTCCAGAAAAAATAAAAGCAAAAAACAATGGCAGCGTGTAACAGTTCATGTCACACTTCCCGAGCACAGCGTCAATAAAATCACCATCATCATCAGAAGTCGTTAGTCCTTCTTTAATACATGTACAATTGTAGTACCTCTAGGAATATTGAAGACACAAAATAATGTTTCAGAAATAGATCCACGAAACAAAATCTCATTATAAAGTAAAAGCTAAATCAGAAACTTCAGCACATGTTTTAGGTTACACCTACCAGTCATTATTTAGAAACAAGATATCAACAACAGATCTCAATTATTTTTACATGATAAAGATTAGTGTATCTGCATACTAGCTATAGTCATGGAAAGTGCTGTTAATTTAAGAAAACTTGTTTGAAATATTTGTGCTCAATTTCATTATGGTTGGGAAACTATAAATCTCGAAGGAAATTAAAGGTAACATAATGAATAAAATAAAACTTTGGTTGGCATTTGAAATACAGAGAGCTACCTTACTGTGAAAAATTCTGGGACCAGGTAGAAAAGATAATACTTTCTTTTGTACAAGAACATTATTAGGCACAGCAGGCACAAAACAGGAGGCCCAAAATAATTTTAAGGCCATATAAAAATATTTTAGAGTGATTTGAAAGCAGAGAAGAAAATTGATTCCATTATAACAATATTAGTATAGAAAAATAATTAATATGGAGTAATAAACCTGGGTATTTACTTTCATAATGACAATTTGCAACCAATTTTTTTTCAAATTTTTTTAAATGAAGAAAGGGGAACAAAGAGTCAATATGTTGAGTCAATTAAAAAAGTGATACCACGACACTGAATAGGAAACATGAAACGTAGAAGTTTTGCTCTTTTAGGGTTGATTATTGAAGGAAAATAAAATGGGAATTTTTGAAAGATCTAAGCAGAGTTCGTAGCTAGATCAGTAAACAATTTATTAATGCATTGAATGTACCCTAAATTATAAATTAGAAGAAAACAACAATAAATTTAAAGATGCAAAAATAAATTACTAGTAAATGAATACAAGATAGCAAAGATGGCTTAAATCTGAGTCATTCAGAAAATTACAACATCAAAATCACATCAGTATGGTTGTAGAAGTTGCTCAGCTTTCACTGGATATGTTCAACGACAGATACAAGTAAATATCCAATTAAAATTCATCCATCCCACCCAAGTTGTGAGTGTCTGTATTTTAAATATCTTTCTTGTTGTTGAGACTGGGTTTTCTCAATACAATAGAAGTTAGCGTGTCACATAAAAACCTTTATATTTGGAGAGAAGGGCAACTAGATATAAAAGAAGAAATTATTTGTAGGGGAGTATATGGTGACTATGGAAAAATAATAAAGCAAGGGAGAAGTTTCAGAAGTATTGTGTGCAGGGCCGTGCAGAGAGAAGTGTCTCAGTGGTGAACTGCCTGGCATTTAGGGAGATGTGTGAGCAACGTAAGAAACCCAACTACTTGGTTTTGCAGAAAAAAAGAAAAGTACCTGAAAAGAGAAACAATCACTTGCTAAGTTCGAAGAACTTGTTCAAAAGAACATTGTAGGCTGGAGACGGGAGCCCCTGAGGAGGGAGACCAAGAAAGTGGAAGTGGCACGTAACTGATGGAGCTGTTCAAGAACCTTCATCATTTTTCTAAGTAACAAGAAGCCATCAAAGGGATATGGCTATAAATGAAATATTTTAAAATATCACCTGACTGTTATGAGACTGTTGGGTTATGCAGGCAAGAGTAAAAACAGACAAATATGTAGTCCATAGACTATTAAAAGAAGGTTACGGTTTGTGTATAGGTGTGCCCCCAAAGTCTCATGCAATCATGCGGCAGACTTCTAGAGTTTGTGATTAACTCATGATCCCCTGGGATTATGGGTGTGAGTGCTGCTGGGATTATGGGTATGAGTGCTGCTGGGATTATGGGTATGAGTGCTGCTGGGATTATGGGTATGAGTGCTGCTGGGATTATGTGTGTGAGTACTATATCCAGCCTGAGGCAGACAGCCTGAATGCAACTAAAGGGAAACTGTTGAAGTTTCTGAAACTCTCTGAAGCCATTGCTGCCCTTACTCCTCCCATTTGCTCTTGCTCTTTGCCACCGACATGAACTGCTGTCCTCTGCCATGTGCCAGTCTGCCTTGAAGCCAGCCAAGAATAGACTGAAACCTCCACTAACTGTGAGCCAAATAAACCTTTCCTTCCTCCCTGTTGGGTGTCAGATATTTGTCCCAGCAATGAGAAGAGTAACTGAGGCAAAGAAGATGTAGTTTATGTAACACAACGGTGCCAGCAGCCAGGTGTTAGAAAGGAAAAAAATGAGAATTACCAGAAGCAGTAGTGATTTAGAGTGGATCTGCAAGGATTTGCTGGCAAGTCTAAGGGTGGGAACTGTATCCAGAGGGAGAAAGGCGGTTGCAAGGGCCAGGGCCTCCCTCAGATGCGTGAAGTTCTCCAGACCAGGGAGGCAGTCAGTACTCAGCCTGGGAAAGGCACCCAAACAAACACCACGATCTCACTTTTCTTATCTTCTGATTTCCTTCTATGACTCTTTGTTATTACAGCCCAGTCAGAAACCAGAGGGAAGTCAGAGGGCAAGAGAGGCTCTCATCTTATAATTCAAACTTCTAGACAATCAGGAGGTAGAGAAATATGGTGAGTGGATCTGCAGGACGAGCTAGAGAAACCCTGCACGGTGGCTGATCTCAGGCCATGGAGACTAAGCGAAGGGTGGAAGGAGACCGGTTGACCACATACATTGTGGCATCACAAGCTGGTAGGCTCTCACACTTTTGAAGAATTGAGTTCATGTACTAGAAAGACTGAGTCAGCAGAAAGGAAACTGTGGATGACTGAAACGGAATAACAGAAGGGGTGGAGAGAACTAACAAGGAAAGACCTGGGGTCTGCACAGGGAAGGACGTTCAGTGAGACAGAGTGCAAGAAGATAACTGGGAGAGAAGCAGTTAAGGACTTCCAGAGTTAGAATACCAGAAAGACCCGCATGATAAATTTCAAAGTTTGGGAGAAGGGAGAGAAAGTGGTCACAAAGTATCAAAGAGGAGAAAGGAGGATGTTTAACTCTTCTGTGGTTCAGTGGTATGGGACAAGTGGGAGGGAAGAATAGTCATCTACTACTTAAAGTTGCCACAAAAGGAATGACAGAAACATTCAGCGCAAAAGCTAAAGAGGACTTTTAGGAAAAAAATGTAGCAATTTTGCTGGTATGTATTTTTGATTTCCAGAGGACTCCGTTGAAAGATTCATAATGTTAGTTAGGAGTAGGAGGAAGATGATACCAAATAAGAAAATACATAAAATTAGAATCATGAAGAGATGAGGAGTGAACTGAACTTCTGAGCCTCTGGAGATGATTATTATGTAGAAGTACATGATTAGTCTTAAAACTCTCACATAACCAGAATGTCAATTAGAAAATTAAAGTTATACGGCGTTGAAATGAAACAGTGAAATATATTCAACTCCAATAATAAAAAGGAAGATATATGTAAGTCAGAGCATATCAACTATTATATTAAATGGTTTTAGCCTAAAAATTACAGTAAAAGATAAGTGAACAGAAATAGAAAAACAAAGCATGCTAGATGCTGGTGCCACAGGACATACTATGTATAAAGATGCTATACATGAGCAATGAAGAAGACAAATCAGATATCACAGAACTAGCAAAACAATTAGAGTCAGCTATCTAATATGCAGTTATATTAAACATATTTTTTACACACAATGCTCATAATTTCTTGGCTTAAACTTAAGTCACAAACAAATAGAGTAGAGTTTTAGATGATGTGGTTAGTGGAGTTAGTAGCAAAAAAAAAAGTAGCTAAGATTATGTTTTAGAAAAATGCAAAAGTTAATAAAATGCTTACATAATCTAGAATTTCATCAGAGATCTGTATTCTATAAAAATATTGATGGCAGCATTGTAAAATAAAAAATGAATTTAAATTTCAGAAAAATCTGGGCCTGGTGGCACAAGACTTTAATCCCAGGATTTAGAAAGCAGAGAGAGGAGGATCACCACAAGTTTGAGGCCATCCTGGGTGACATAGTGAGCTCAAGGGCAGCCTGACTTACAATGAGATATTGTCTCAAAAAGCATAAACAAATAAATAAAACAGAAACAAATTTAACAATTCAGCAGATCCTGGAACATAGAAGATTCATAACTGGTGGACAGATCAGTGAAAACTATTGGCATTTCAAAAATTTAAACAGATTAAAAAGAGATAAAAAAAAGTCAGAAGAGTATGAGGTATGAGATCATGTGGAAAAGTCTACTTGTAGCCCATGTTAGATGGAATTAAGAGAACACACAAAATTCTTCCACTGTACACAGCTACATAATCCCTAGGACTGTGAACTGGTGGAATTTAGTCCTGTAGGTAAGGTACGTCACAGCCACAGATGAGTTAAACAAAGAGCAATTATCTTAAGTAAACATCTCCTGATTGGGGTGGGGGTCTCAAAATGCCACGTAAGGGAGATGCTCGGATGCTAGTCTTAAGGATGGAAGAGATAATCTGTGAAGGAATGTGAAACCAGCCCCAATGAACAGCTAGTAAGGAGACACAGACTTCACATTTTTCAGTGCAAAGGAACTCTATTTAGTCAATAAAGTGAATGAATGTATATAGATGTCATTTCTGTCCCACAGCCTGAGTCACGGTATGACTGGACTTCTGACTTTAGAATTTCAAGACAATAACTGGAGATATATATATATATATATATATATATATATATAGCCATGAAGGCTGTGGCGATTCATTATGTAGGAATACTAAACTAACAAAGGGTTCCCAAAAGAGCTGGAAGCTGAGCATTGCAACTGATAGACAATAAACCATAGATTCCAGATGTTCTGTGAAATCAAAGTGATATGAAGTGAAAATAGTAAATGTAAACTCAACAAAGCGAACTACTGAAAACCAAAACCACAAAGAAAAATCCTAAGAGAACCCACAGGCAGAAGACAATGCATTCATGTGGTAGATTGACAACTGGTGGTCAACTTGTAATATGCAGCTGAACTGAACCAGTGTGGGGCTGCGCATGAGAGGCCCACCTGAGGACTGTTGCTGGCAGCAGAAGAGGCAGAACTGCAGCTTCTAGGAGCTATTAGAGCTGTTGGTTTTTCTGGGGTTGCTGTTGGTTGTCTCGGAAGACCTTGTTATGCTGGCTTTCCTAATGAAACTGGCTGTTCTTGTTGTAGGAGGAACTCAAAACCTTACTATCACTGACAGTAGCCATGGTTCACTTTGCAGGAATTTAGGTCCTCACTTTAAGCATCACTTCCTGGCACTGGAGGGGAAGATGGTGCACTGCTTAATCTCCTGGAGAAGCCATTGCATGGGCTTTCTTGATGGGAACTTGGCTGTTCTCATCCTCGGAGGAGCTTTGGACCTCATCATCACTGAGGAAGGCTGTGGTACTTTTCAGGGAAGCTCTCTTTCTTACTTTTAGCATTGCTCCTTGGCTCCAGTGCAGATCTTTCACCTGTTAGCACAGACTTTCCAGCTTCCACCACTGACCTTTGGACCTTCTCCATGTAGATCCATGAAACAGGTCTGCATGAGACATTGTCATGGGCTCTTTGCTTCCATCTGGACTCCTAGGGGTCATGTTATAGGCCCTAGGTCTTCAGCGGGATTCATGCAGGACATTACTGTGCAATCCAGATCTTCGACTGGGTTCTTTGGTCTTTAGTATGTGGACATACTTCCTGTACTCTTTTTGTATGTAACACTTTGGGGGAGGGGACTATTATAAAATAATCTTGTAATTGTCTTGTCTTATATTGTTTCCCTTGCAAAACCCCAGACTACAACAAATGATATATTTTAAATGTTTATGAAAAATAACTATCAGTAATTATCACTCAATAACTCTTGTCAAGTGAAGGATTTTCATAAATGGAGAAAAAAATTAAATTCTTCAGAACAAAAGAAAATAATCCCATATATTATAGTTGCATCTTGAATGTTCCCCAAAGGCTCACATATTGAAGTAATGGTTAGCGACGAGGCCTTTGGAAGAAGATTTGATCAGCAAGGCTCTAGCTGTCCATGGATTCATGCATCAAAGGATTTATAACTAAAGGGACTTTGGAGAGGTGATGGACACCTTAGGATGTACAGGGCCTGATGGGAGGAAGGAGGCTCCCTGGGACACGCCATCCAAAGGCACAGTTTGAGCCCACCTCTTCCTCCCTGTGTCTCTCCTCTCTGGGTCCTGACTGCTATGAGGTGAGTGTTTTACTTCTCTGTGCCATCTCCCTTCTTTGGTATATGTCTAACCATGGGGCCAGAAACAATGGAACAAAACAAATACGGACTGAAATCCCTGAAACTGAAAGCCAACATAAAACTTTTCTAAATTATTGAAGTCATTAGGCAATTTTTTTCATTAGGCAATTTTTTTTTTTCAGAACCAAGGATTGAACTCAGACCCTTGTGCTTGCCTGGGAAGCACTTATTTTACTGAGCCATCTCCCCAGCCCGTTTTAGGCAAATTTTTACAGTGACAGAAAACTGACAAAAGTACACAAAAGTGTGAAAATAGAAAGAAGTAGACATAAGTGACTGTCAACTGTACAAATAAATAACATGCCGCTTACAATGCTTGAATAAATACAGCATATGACTGAAATAATAAAAAACAGATGAGTAAATAAAGTTGCATATGGTAACAATGCACCAGCAGAAAGATATCCTGAAAGCCTTCATCATGTATCGTTGCTTTTTGGGTGAGATGAACTCTCCAGAAGAATAAGGACGCAGTCCTTATAGGAAGAAAGAATTTCTGCTTCGTGTTCATGCCTTATGAATTTTCTCTCTTACTTTTCTGGAACATCTGATGCTTTAAAAAAGTATTGTATATATGGTAATTTCTAGTACTCAATAGAAGGACTGATTTCTGTACCTGAATTAATAGAAAAATAGCAAGAACCTAGAGTAGACATTTTTAATTCCTCAACAGAAGAAAAGAGTGAGTGAAATGTGATTGAAGTGACAACACTAGTCAACCCCAGGGACTCAGGAGGAGGATGTCCAGTGTTGTGGGGGACTGGACAGTACTGAGAAGAAGCACAGATACTAGGCAAAGAATACAAGTGGAGGACAGTATGCTCCCTTGATTTCTTCTTTCAACCTTGCTATTGTTGAGGTAGATGATACTATTGTAAAAGCATAAAATCAGGGAAATGCAACATACAGAGGCACATTTTAATGCAGGAGTGTTCCCTCTATACCAAATTCTCATGAGCCTTTTGAATTATGAAAGCATAAAACATATTTTCTTCCCCTGTTTTCAAAATTAAAAACAAGAAAGACAAATTTTATAAAGAGCCACGAGTAAAATAAAAACACTGTCTACCAGGTAAACATGTTAACGGAAAGGAAGAAGCATAATAAAAAATAATTACCTTTTGATTGCCTATAGTTTTTGCATGTGTGCAACCTGCAAAGCACGGAGAAAAATATTCAGTGTTATCCCTTCCACATACAGAAGAATACAGCCCCGTGGAGCATCTGCACCTTTCATTGCAAGGAGCCGTGAGATTTCCCAGCTGACCTGTGCTGCAAAAATGATAGGTAGAATGCATGAGTAATCACAATTACTTGTTCTATACTGGTATATAAATCAACATACTAATGAGATGGTTAATGCTACTTGTAAGTATGGTTATTGAGAGAGCTTCCCTTTAACAGTTTATGGCGATACCTATTATTTACAATACAATGTACACTTCAGTGTGCAATTGGAATGTTTTGAGATCTATATAGAATGGTGAAATTATTACCACAGTCTAAAGATATGCTTATCACCACACATAAAAAACATTCTGATAACCATTTGTAATTCAATTTCTTTCTCGTCACTATTAAGTAAATAGAAATTGTTTGTATTTTATGTAATGGAACCATAAAATATATACTCTTTTCTAGGCTTCTTCCACACAAAAGGTTTTCATCTGGACCTTTTATGGTCATATGATTCCATCATTCTTGGATAAATATTCAGTAGAATGTTTATTGGATTTAATATAAAGCTGTCGTTCTTCCAAAGTAGTTGTGCTGTTTTCCTTTCTCCTAGCAATGCACAAGAGTTTAGCTGTTATCCGCATTGTTTTCTAACTCTTGATGTGGCCTTTTGTTAATGTCAGATACTACCAGGAGTAAGCAGTTTCACCCTGTGCTCTTTAATACGCATACTCTTAGTAACCGATCATGTTGATTATATTTCTATCTGTATATATATATTTTTCAAAATTTTTATTTATTTATGTGTGTGTGTGTGTGTGTGTGTGTGTGTGTGTGTGGCCAGCTCAGCCCACCAGGAGGCGGGGCTGGCTGGCATGTGGTGCTGGGGGATTGAACCACGGTCCCTGTGCTTTGCTAAGCTTGTTCTAAGCAGGTGCTTTAGACAACTGAGCCATCTCACTAGCCCTGTATATATTTTTTGATTAAATGTCAGTTCACATTTTTGTTGGTTGTTTATTTTCTAATTACTAGGAACATTCAGAACACCTTACATATTCTGAAACAAAGTCCTTTTTTAGATGTAGGATAGCCAATTATTTTTTTGTAGTCAATGCCTTGCTCTTTCATGTCTTAAAAGTCAAAATTCATAAGATTTTAACTTTGATGAAGTCCAGTTATAAGTTTATTTCTTTCTGTGTAATGTGCTTGATGTCATTTATAAAAATTCTTTGCGGAATCCAAGGTCAAAAAGATTTTCCCTATGTTCTTGGAATATTTCACATTTACATGAATGGTCCATCTTCAATTAATTATTCGATATGGTCTAATATGTGAGTCAAAGTTTGTGTTTTTCACATAGGTATTTAATTGTTCTAGCATCATTAAAATGTCTCTATATTCCCCACTACACTGTATATATATTCTGTCAAATATCAATCTTCCATGTACAGATAGGTCTGTTCATCTGATCTACTGATTTATTTTCACTACTATAGCTCTGTAAATCTGAAAAGTAAGTAGTTCTTCATTTTGATATTATTTGAGATTATTTTTGAATTTTACAGATTGTTTGCTATCAATATCAATCTGAAAATTATTTTGCGAGTATCTAAAGAGAAAGCTCATTGTGTGGTTTATTATGATTGCATTGAACACATACAGCAATTTAGAAAGGAATCACATGTTAATAGTATTGAGTCTTCCATGAACAGGGCTATCTCTCCATTTACAAATGTAGGCCATTAATTTCTCTCACCAATGTTTTGCTTTATTATGTATATTATATATACATTATATGTTATAATAAGTCATTCACATATTTTATCTGATTTAGCCTAAGTATTTTTATTGATATTATTGTAATATTATTTTTCTAATATCATTTTCTAATTCTTTTTAAACAGTATATAAAAATAAATTCCTTCGTATTGATCTACAGTATTTCTGCCTGATACTAGAGTTAATGGTTTGCTATTATAAATTGATTTCTGGGGGCTGGTGAGATGGCTCAGTGGTCTAAAGCACCCACTTAGAACAAGCTTAGCAAAGCACAGGGACCACTGTTCAATCCCCCAGCACCACATGCCAGCCAGCCCGCCCCCTGGTGGGCTGAGTTGGCCACACACACACACACACACACACACACACACACACAAATAAAATTTAAAAAATAAATAAATAAATAAATTGATTTCTGCTTGTTTGTGGGTATATACAGAGTATAACAGATTTTTTTCTAGTGGACTGAACTCAGAGCCTTGTACATGCTATACTAGTGCTTTACTGCTGAGCTGTATTCACGGCCCCAGTATATCATAGATTCTTGTGTGCTAATTTTGTGTCCTGAAATTTTGATAAACTTATTGCATTAGTCTAGTGGGTTTGAAAATTTTTCATCATAGATAATCACGTTGCCTTCAAATGAAGAGCTTTATGTAATAACTTTTATTCAGAATGCCCCTTATTCAAACTGCATGTTTGTCTTTCTTTTTCCTGTCATTATTGTGATGAGTAAAACCTCCAGTCTAGTACTGAAACACAATAACTGAAAACAGACCTGCTTGTATTGTTTTTGATCCCTCAGTGTTCCTTCCCCTTAGTGTTCTCAGCCTTCTGGTACAAAATGCTTCGGGCTGGGTGCTTGAACAACACAACTTTACTTTGACAGTTCTGGGGACTTGGGAGTCCAGCAGTAAAGTATCAGCAGGCAAGTTCCACATTTAATGAAAACCCTCTTGCAGAAAACAGAGGCCCTGATCTCACTGTATCATCCCATGAACAAAGACACAGTGGTCCTCTCCCTGTTCTAATGAAAACACAAATTTCATGATGTGGGCTCCCTGCTCATGACCTCAGCTAGGCCTCATTACCTCTCATATGTTGCACCTAAAATCATCACATGGAGTTAGGAATTCAAAATCTGAATTTTGCAGGAACAAAATCATGCAGACCATAGTAATTTCAAGCATGATGCTAGCTGCGGGAATTTGAACTGTCCTCTAACAGATGTACTTCCCTTCCATTCCTTAGTTTGCCAAAAATTAATGTGGCATTTTCTCTCTTTTCGCACTATCTCCAGGGAAATTTAATATTTAAAATATATTAATTTGTTCACATGATGCTATTTATCAATTGGTTTTCAAATATTAACTTAATCTTGCATTTTTTAAAATAAATACTGCTTAATTGATTCATTTTGTAATATTACATATCATTTACTAAAATCTTATTCAGTATTTTTGCATCCATGTACATGAAAGATAAAGATTTGCAGTTTTCTTACAATGCTTTCTTATCTCTACAATTTTTATTTTTCATTAATAAAAGCTGTATGTATTCATGGAGTACAGTATTATGGTATTTCAATACATGTATGTAATATACAATGAGATTAAAGTAATTCATTAATTTAAATATCATTTCTTAGGAATATTTAAAGTCCTTTTTGCTAGCTATTTTGGAATATACAGTTAGATGTTGTTAACCGCAGTTACTTTATTATACTATGAAACATTGCAAGTTATGCCTCCTACATGACTTTACCTTTGTACCCGCCGATCCTTTCCTCTCCTTTCACCTCTCATCCCTCAACTCTTCTTAGTTTCTGGTCATTATTGTTCTGTTCTCTACTTTGATTCTACTCATCCATGTATTGTAACTTCCATTATGGTTTTGTTTGTTTGTTTGTTTTGCAGAACTGAGGATTGAACTCAGACCCTTGTGCTTGCCAGGCAAGTGCTTATTCTACGAAGCTATCTCCCCAGCCCCTTGTAACTTCCATTGTGAGGCCATTTACTCTCCTGGCTCAGTTTATTTCTAGTATTTTATTTTATTTTACTTTAGTTGATGGTCACTACAGTAAATAGGATTGCTTTTTATGGCTTTTTCAGAGATTTCATTATTACTGTGCAAAAAGCTACATAATTTTGTATATTGCAACATTACTGTATTTGTTAGCACTTAACATTTTTGTCAGGGCCTTTTGATTTTGCAATATATAAAATGATGCCTTCTGTAAAGAGTAAATTTAAATTTGTTTCCTATTTAGGAATTGTTTCTTCCTTTCTTTCTTTATTGCTCTTTCTAAGTCTTCCCATACCGTGGAGGAAGAGCCCTGAAAGTAGACAGCTCTTTCCTGTTCCTGTTCTTAGAGGAAATGATAGCAGCTTTTGACCATTCAGTGAGATCCTGTGGATTTTTAAATTTTTAATTTTTTTATGTATTTGATACAGGGTCTCACTACGCAGCTCAGACTCATAGTGATCCTCTTGTTTTTCAGCCTCCCCAGCACTGGGATTACAGGTGTGCACCACCACTCCTAGACTAATGGGGCAGGCACAGCATGCCAATACTGGAGATCGAACCTCAGCCTCTGTGTTTGCCTAAGCAGGCACTTAGTTCGCTGAGCTATCTCACCAGCCCAAGATCTTGTTTGTGGGCTTCCATACTCAGTCTTTCTTGAGCTGAGCTACAATTCTTTAATTCCTTTGGAGTTTTTTTTTTTTTAAGTTGAATTCTTCAATGCATTTTTTAAAATATCCATTGAGATGATTGCAAAGTTTTTGCCCTTCATTCTGTTGATGCAATTTAATAATACTTTTTAAACTTATATATACCAAACCCTCCTCTCACCCCTGGAATAAATTCCATTTAATCATGGTGAGTCAACTTTTTTCTGTCTTGTTGGATTCAGTTTGGTTCACCAATGATATTGATCTACAGTCTTCCTTTTTGTTGTGTCCTTTTCTGGTTTTTGCTGTATGGGTTGTGACTGCCTTAGGTAATGAATGTTCCTTTTATGGTTTCAAAGGTTTGGGAAGCATTGGTTCTTCAATATTTGGTAAAGTCAAAACGGAACCATTCAGTCCTAGGATTTGTTTCATATGAAACTTTACTGTTGATTTAATATTATTACTCCTCATTGGTCTATTTAGTTCCAAGGAAACAATATAATTGTTTATTGAGGAAACAATTGTTTCCTTAATTGTTTTATAAGGAAACAATATAAATGGGATTTATATCCCATTTAACAAATA